TATCTGATTACTTTTGCTGTTAATTCTATTTTTCATTATAAGCCTGTTGTTGTTATTAGTTGCCAAGGAATCTATTTGGATTCACGGCAACCACGTGTGTGCCGAGTAGAAGTGCTCCATAGTGTTTTCAAGGCTGTGACCTTTGGGAAACAGATCTTCAGGCCTTTCTTTCATGCTGCCGCTAGGTGAGATTGTTAGTAGTGGAGCCCTAACCATTTGAGCCACCCAGGGACTCCTACAAGCCTGTTAGGATAATATATTTGAACAGATGATAGACATGTATTCAACATCCTCATGCTAGGAAGGTGCTTCTCAGAGGCCCGTTCTCCATTCCTCCCCTTCTCCACAAGGACCACTGAGGCCACACCTCCCACCACGCTCCCGCCCCTCCCCCCAGACAAGTCTGGCCACCCACCACCCCTCCTGCCCTGCCGCCCTGGTTCCAGCTCCCAGCCCCCTCCCCAAAACCCCATCCATAGTTTTGAGGTGTTTCAGCTTTCATCTCCAGCTGCTCCTGCCCATATCCTGCAACTGCACCAAGACTTTGGAGTATAAGGCGCTCCGTTGCCAGGTAAGGGCTGGGAGGAGGCAGGAGCCTGGCCGTCTTCTGCTGGCTCCCCGTTTTTCCCGGGCGCTCCTTCTGAACCGCATCCAGGGTCCGGGACTCCCGGAGAGAGGGGACTGGGGACCGCGGTGCTGAACAGGGAAGGCGCGCCCTGGCTGGAGTCTCCTCCAGAGTAAGTATGGAAAATAAACTTTCAGAAGCTTCAAAAATACGCAGATACTGGGGAGGAGTGGGGTCAGGTGTTGACACTTTTGTTTCCAGGACCCAAACCCATTGCCATCCAGGGGATTCCAAGTCATAGTGAGTTCCAGGACCCAGTTATGCCTAATGATAGGAATAGGGCCCAAGGCAGCCTGCTTCTCGCTGGTGAGGTGTGAGGACAGATGGGGGTGTGATAGGTACCATTTGGATTAAGGTTCCTGTGTGATGTATCCCCAAAAAGCCAACAGC